TTTTGATAGTTTCCTTTTTGCTGTCTGTGAAGCAGGATACTCTGTATCTAATATTGTATTCTGCTTTTTATCTTGTTGTATTTTCTCAAAATCTGGTAAACTATTTGTAGAGCAAAGCTCATTTTCTTTGAAAATAATTAAATTTGGAATTTCTGGATATGATAGTTTCCATGTAATTGATATACAATTTTTTACTACACAAACTCTATTTTTCTCAAATTTCAGCTCACCCATTTTTATTCCCATTTTAAGTTCTACTTTTCCAGCTATAATAAAGCCATCTGTATGTATACGTTTTACTTGATCTCCTAATGGCTTCACAATTTCTTTAATATTCTATATGTCAACACTATATAACTTTTTCAGAAACAGATCAAGAAATTCTAGATTGAATCCTCCAAGAATCCTTCAACTAATCCTATCCTGAATTCGATCATTACAAAGTAATAGAAAATCTTCAAAAGAATTTCAATAATAAAGTAGCCCTATGTAAAAGTTGCTTTATACTTAAGCAGAAAGCAGAGCTCGAACAATATGAGAAATATTGCCAAGAATGTCATGAAGAATTACATCCTAAATCTCAACTAGAACTACAACCAAAAGACCTCTCTACTCAACCTGAACTCCCCTCTTTATCTCAAGTTCAACCTCAATCTAACCAGAATAAACTTATTAAACTATTACAACAACAAGTCGAACAACAGGCCCAGATTATTATTCTTCTCCAAGCCCAAGCTAAGACCTTTGAACATCAGGCTTAGACTATTGAAATCTTTCAGAACAAGGTTAATAGTTTTGAAAGATTTTATCAACAAATAGGATGTTTATATTAGAAACAATTTGCACAAGTAGATAGTAAACAGCCTACTACTTCAATCTCTTCCTTAAATTTTTAAACTATCCTAAGCAAAATAAAAAACTACTTAGTGACTCAGATGAACTTCCCTCTGAACTTGAAGCTTTAGAATCAGCTCTAAATAATAATTTACAAAAGAAAGAAATATATATAATCTCTCAAGAAATAGCCTCAAAAACAGAAATGTTAACCTCAGACTAAGAAATAAAATTCAAACGACTCCTTAGAGAATTTGCAGACCTCTTTGCAAAAAATATTACTCAACTAGGAAGGACAAGCCTAGTAATATACAAGATATATACTAAAGATATACCTCTGATAAGTTCTCAACCTTACTCAGTACTTATTACTGAACAAGCCTTTATTAACGAAGAAGTACAACAGATGCTTGATAACAACTTGATAAGAGAATCAACTAGCCTATGGGTATCTCTAGTTGTTTTAGTTATGAAAAAAAATGGAAAGAAAAGATTTTATGTAGATTATAGAAAACTTAATACGATAACCGAGAAAGACTCTTATCCCTTTACTCGTATAGATGAACTTTTAGACTCCCTTGCTGAAGCTACCTATTTTTCTACTCTTGATCTTATGAGTAGATATTGGCAAGTAATGATGCATCTTGCAGACAGAGAAAAAACAGCTTTTATCACTAAATATAGTACTTACGAATTTAATGTAATGTCATTTAAACTATGCAATACTCCTGCTACCTTCTAACGTCTCATGAATCAGATTTACTAAGGCATAGCCTATAAATATGTTGTTATCTACTTAGATGACACCAATGTATTTTTATGGATATTTAAAGATCATATTCAACATCTTTGTGAAGTATTTACTAGAATCAAAAAAGCTGGACTTAAGCTGAATTTAGAGAAATATACTTTTTGAATAAAATGACTACTCTTCTTAGAACATATTATAGAAGCTAAAAGAATCTCACCAGACCCAGAAAAGAAGCAATAGATTAGTGGGCTTTTTAGATACACAGTTGTGTTTTTTTTGATAACACTATTCTTTCTTGTTTTTTTGTAAGTTTTTAACGTATTCTTGATAACTTATATAACTTATATATAACATATAAAAACTTACATGAATGGGGTATTTTTATATATACTACACGCTTAGTGTACTTTTTTGATATCTATTTCGATAGCTATTTAGCTTTCTATTACTAAGGAGTATACCCCTCTAAGAGTATACGACACAATTGCGGAGTGAAGCAGAGTATAGTTATCATATTTGATTTCTATTTAGTTTTTTGTACTAGAGGAGCATAGTGACTCTGAATATGAAGTGTAGCATAGCATTAGTTATCTATTTAATTTACAATTAGTTTCTTAACACTAAGGAGTATACACCTTAGGTGTGAGCGATACAGTTGTAGAGCGAAGCAGAGCATAGTAATCTTTTATTTAAACAAAAGATCTAGTATATTAATAAAAAATACTAAAAAAACATATTACTATGGCTAAGATACTTAAATATCCAGGTTGTGATCAAGTAATAAAAACTAGTAAAACTCGAGATTTTAATAAACACATGAATTTAAATAGAAACCTTCGTAAAGGATAATGCCAACTAGCTTTGCTTATAATACAAAATATAGAAAACGTTACTCCAGAGCAAAATACACCTCAAACTGAAAACGTTACTTCAGAGCAAAATCTGCTAGCAACTCCTGAAGGTGATCTCATATCATTTGATGAAAAACTACTAACACTTTAGCCAAGAGAGGCAAGTACATCAGTAGTCGACCTCTAGATAAGAGAATCAGAAATGAGTTAAAGACTCGAAGCTCAACATTCTCAATACTCTACATCATCTAGTTCAAAGCAAAATAGCACGAGTTACCAAGATAAAACCATCTTAATTCATAAAAATATAGCAAATAGATTTGAGTTTTATTATGAGAAAAGAAAATGGTATAGAGTTAAAGAAGATTTTTGCGCATTATATAACAAATATCATTTTATTAAAGCAAATAATGAAGAAACAATTATGAAAGCATACAAAAGAATTAATGATGAGTCTGAAGCTATTGCTAAAAAAACTAATGGTAGAATTGATATGTGTAAATCTAGAAATTATACATTAACAACTATAAAATTTTTTAAAGAAACTACTTTAGTACTCCAAAAAAGTGAAAAAATAAGTGAACAAGAAAGTGTATGGATAGATTTAGCAATAACTGGTGCTCTAATATTTACAGAAAGATATGAAGGAGAAGCTAATCAATACGATGTAAATTCAATATATATATTTGAAATGATAAAAAAAGATGCATCATAGCCAATTGCACCAGGTAAGTTTCATACTATAAACTCATCTTTTACAGAAAAATAGAGTAAATTTCTATATAGGATTTATAAAGCAACAATAGAAAGAAATTCTTCAAAGAAAAGCCTTCAATGCATAAGATATTTGTGATATAATCTATATAGAATTTACATATATTATGATTTAGAATATGCTAAGGAAAATGGTCTGAAAGTATATTTAATGAATGAATCACCAAATACACTTATATATGAAAAAAATACTGGTATTAGTAGAAGTAATATATTTGGTAAATGGAGAAATATATTATACAATATTAAGAAAGAAGGTGGAATAGCAGGAAAAGTAAATAAAGTATTATTAGTTTCATTATAAGGTGCCTTATGTGAACAAAGAAATAGACAAAATTATGGAACACATCTATGAATAAAACCCTTCTTGCTAGTATTAGCTCGAAAGACAATATCAGAAATTGTAAAACCTTTAGGAGACCAGATAAAATATATACATACGGATGGCTTTATTGTAGCTAGAAAAGTAGAGCTTAAAACAGGAATAGAAATAGGTAACTTAAAATTCGAGAAAAAAGGAATTTGTATAGTAAAAAATTGTATAAGTATTATATAGAAGCTACCTTATTCAGAAATCCCAAATTTATTAACAAATAATATTGAATCAGACTTCAAACAAATACAAAAAGATAAAAAGCAGAACTTGAAGTTGATGCAGATTATAACTAAAAAAATAGATATAAATCTTCTAAATGAAATTATAATGGAAATATTCTAACATTTACGAATACAAAATAATAGATTAGACATGGAGTGTTCTGTTTTACAGTATGCTAATAATGAATTATTGTTTCCAGTTTTATATGTTAATAAACGATAGAATGAATGTGCAACATATTTAATATGGAGAAGAATTATATTATATAGATACAATATTAGAAATTTTGTTAATTTAATAAAAAAGAAACTATTACCAAATCTAATAAATTATATAAAACAAATAGAATTCGAAAGAATAGACAATTACTATAATATAAATGAATTCCTACTAGAAGATATTATAAAAATATGTTAAGATATTATTATTTTATTATTTAAGGATTGTGGTTAGGGATTACTTAATAATAACTTATTAAAGATAACATTGGATATATGTAAAAATTTAAGATATATATTTATTTATAGAAGTAATCGAATAGCACCAAAAATAATCTTAAGTATACCACAAAAATGTGCAAATATAAAAACTATAAAAATACAAAATTGTGAATGAATAACAAATGAAATAATAGATCAGATAGCAAGCAAATATCCAAAAATTATGATTAATAAAAAGAATATACCTACTAATTCATTTATCGATAGAAAAACAATCTAACTTTTTATAATTTTATTATTTATTAGTAAGAAGCATCTGAGTATATATTTTTTATGTGTCTATGACACTAATTCCACTATTAAATAATAAAACTCATATTAAATAAAACTTATATTATATAAAACAAAATACGAAGTAAGTATAAACCTAGTATGACAGATAATAGTTCAAGTTTAATAAATGAGCAGAACTCAGAGTTAATAATACAAGATATTACGTAGAAAATAATTGAATTAGCACAAATCAAAATAATAAAAGAAGCTTTTCATCTTCGATATAGAAAAAATAGTAAACTTATTAATGAATATGCAGGATATGTAAAAAATTTACATAATGCAGATAATCAAGATAAGTATATAAAATATATAGTAATAATACTTTTTCCAAATGATGAAGCATATAATAGAAGAATGGCAAGATATAGAAATTGGTTTCAAAGTAAAAAAGAACTACTTACCAGTATAAAAGATTTATATAATCTTTATTATAAGTTATCTAAAAAGGATCAGCTTATGACTGAAACAGAAATTGAAGAAGCTATTGAGGATATACTTATAGATGAGTAAATTATTATTTAAGCACCCACGTGGGAAGAAGTTCAACTTTCTTAATTAATTGTAATTGCTCATGAACAAATTTTTTTTCTAGTCCATCTTCTAATTTATACATAACAGGTTGATCTTTATGAATTAAAGTACTTTCAATCCGATAAACCTGAGGAAACTAATTTTTATCTATAATTCATCTTATAGGTAGACCATATTCTAATTCACTAGATTTAAGTAAATATCGAACAAAATCTTTATAAGACAAACATAGTTCATCAAATTTAACAGGTCTTCTATGTTTTACTGCTAGCTCTGCAAATATTTTTTTACCTTTTAATGCTCTTTTTACACTCTCATTAGGAGTCATATGTATTAATTCAGTAACAGTATTATTAAAAGTATCATCATTTATGCGAAGGCCTTTAATTCAAGCTCTACATCTCTTAGTTAATGGTAAACAAAAATCTATAGCATCTTGTCTATAAAAAGCATGTTTTTCAAATTCTTGATGATCATGCTCAGTGATAGCAACACCTTCCTTAGTTACAGTATACTGAATTTTTACACTATAGCTAAGTAATAAATCTTTGCACTCATCTAAGTATTCAGTACCTTTATTCACAATTAAAACTTTAGACCAGATAAGGGAACAATTTAGATCACCATAAATTTTCATAAATATTTTAGCTAATAATATTAATAACTTATTAGTTAAAGCATAACTTTTACAGAATCTAGTTGCTACATCTTTTATTACTACTCTATACTTATAAATTCAATTGCCAATTTTATAATAGAGCATGGGAGTAGTATCTGATTAATATACTTCATTTAAATCATGTATACTATTAAAAGAAGCATATTGAATAAACTTAGAATGAGGCTTATGAATCTGAAAAATAGCTTGCTTGTTTAATCAATCTTTTATTACAACTAATGAAAAATTATGTCCAGCTCTTTTACATGCATCATACATTTTTTCAGCAGTCCGATAATAACCTTCAGGCTTATAATAAATTTTTTGCAAAGTAATTTCCTTATCCAAAACATGGATCCTTTGTAGGTCAATATAAATTACAAGTTTCTTCATTCCTTTGTTTTATTATAGTAATAAAAAATATGGAGGAGTTACAACAAACTAACTAGGAACTCTATGAGGTGGTATCACAATTAGCTGAATTAAATAGAAATTTCGAACAACAGCTATATACTTTAGAAAGAGTTATAGGTATACACGAAGAAAGGATACGATATCTTGAAGAAGAGTTAAATAACACTATCGAGCTTTCTAGACAAGACAAAGAAGAATTATTAGAAGAAATCTCAAAACTCAAAAGAATCGTTCACCAACTTGAGAAAGAAAATAAAAAGAAAGATAAGGAGATTTTTAATAAGGATAAGTTAATATCAGAATTCGATAAATGAGAGACAAAATTAAAAACCAGAATTTGTGAAATATCAAAATCAGCTAGCAATACCTCTAAAGTACAAGATTATATAACAAGATTAGTGAATGAAAACGAGTGACTTAAACGAGAAATAAATATAATAAGAACTAACCAAATAAATAGGATTAACAAAATAACCTAGTAAAAAAATCGTATTACTGACCTTCTTTGTCAGTATTTTGCTTTAGCATTATTAAGATATTGAGATAAATTAAAACTTACAAATACATGAGAAGCTTTACAAAATGCACAGACATAGAATTTTAATGAAAATGAATCTGATTCTGATTCTGATAAAAATTCTTCAGACTTATATAATTCTGATAATAATATAGGAACAATAGCTGAATTGGCTGATGCTATAGACCGATCCCTAAATGATATAGCAATATATAGAACTGTTTTAACAAATTAAATTAAAAGATCAACAAGATCAATCTGACGTAAATACACTAACCTACAACAAGATCTGGTAAATGTATGATAGGACTGAGATACATATAGACAGAAGCGAGATCAGGCATTGCTTGATCTCCAGCAGTTGCGAACTAATGCACAAAACCAGATAAATAGAATGATAGATAATATAGCAGAAAAACAAACTCATATTAGTGAATTGCTATGTAAAAATTTTGCTTTCCAGTTATTGTATCAGTGAAATGCCTACTACCTATAACAATGCAGAGCTAATAAGAGATTATTAGAATATAATAGAGACAGACTCTATAAGCAATATACAAAATAGAAAAATAAGACCTATATAGAGTATCAGAATATTTTAAATTTAAATTAACAAATTTTGGCACTTCATAATAATCTACCAAATCAAATAAATATAGCAGAAGCAAGACGTTTACCTATATTGAAATATGTATTTACCTTATTAAACCTAATTCCACAATATATGGGTCAAATGCTACCTAGTTATTATTATGATATGATTATATAAGCATAGGCACCTGCTATACTAAATATGATAGCTCTTGAAAATACAAATACTAGAGATTTTGATGATACTGTCAAAGTCGAAATTATGAAAGGTAAAATAGCAAGAAAATATGCACCAATACTACCTCAAAATAATTTTGTAAATCCAACAGTTAATATTAATAGTTCAGATACTTTAAGAGCATGGTTAAATGCAAAATATCAACAAGAAATAGTTAGAACTAGCCAATCAGCTATTTTAAGATTATCTCAAGAAAGATTTCAACCTTTTGATAATTCCAATATCTATAAAGCCTGAATTTATCCACTATTATTAGGTGTAGCAGATAATGATGCACAAGTATTAGGAACTCTTAAAACTCATTTATCAGATGATCGAGAACTTTATAGTTAGATGAGAAATGAAAATATAGCAGGTATTAATGAATTTTTTATTTTATTAAAAAATCTATGGCTTGAACGTTCTAGTTTATATGTAGATCAAAACTCTGATCAAGCACAACCAAAGAAAAAATCATTAGCAAAGCAGAATGATAGTATTATATCATAATCTATAGTTTTACAACTAGTATTTCCCTCATATGATGAAATGCAAAAATCATTTCAAGCTATGTTAAAAAAACAGAAGGCTGAATTCAAAGCTGAGATTAAAAAATTGAAAACTGAATTCGAATCAAAATTGAGTCAGCAATTCAAAAAATCTCGCCCTCTAGTTCAACCCAAAGATTATAAACAAATACATGAATTTTATGCAGATCAGAGAGATCCTAGATAGTTAAATCTTTCTAAAGAGGAAGCACTATAATAGTTAGATAAAGCTTTTCTTCCACCTATAGCAAGTAAATTAGAATGATTATATTCATCAAATCAAAATGCCAGAATAGATAGAATAGAGTCGAAAGTAGATAAAATTAGTCAAATGATATCTCAATTCAGGAGGATGATGCTTGATAACAAAAAACCCGTAGCTAAATCAAATTCAACATATCGATACTTTTCTCTTCTAATACCTTCTCAATTCCAATATGCATCTCCTAATTCA